CATTGGGTTGGGATGTTTTTGTGATGCACATTTTCTTTACATAAAACTCTCTCTTACACATGAGTTGCTGTGGATTTGTTTCTCCAAAGTACCTAGACTAATACACAGCAATTGACAGTCCTCGCCTTGTTTTTAACTTTAAAGAGGTATGTAGCAATTACTCATTGTGGTACCGATTTGCCTTTCTCTCATGACTAATGTATTTATTACTGTCTCTATACCATCGATGCACTTGCATTACGGTGCTGGCAAAGAATAGGAAAAGAACCATGGACTGCCATAACAACAAACAAATCTGTCATGGAAGAAGTATGGCCAAGATGCTCCTTAGAAACAAGTAGGGCAAAACTTAGTCTCACATACTTTGGGCACGTCATCAGGAGAGCTCAATCCCTGGAAAGGGCATCTGCTTGACAAAGTGGAGGGGCATGAAAAGGAGGAAGACCCTGTGTTACTCTGGGTTGCCTAGAGACACAAATTCATAGACACTCATATGTGTATAAGAACAAGAGCAATTAAATATTGAGAAAACATCCCATCCCAGTCCAGATCAAGTCAATAGGTTCGATATTGGCCCATATATCTGATACCAATCTATAAATTCCGCTTCAGACTCACAAAACACACACCATGACAGCAAATACAGAAAGATCACAGGCCAGTGGGTAGAAAGTCTTGTGGATCCAGTGGCGGTAGAAGCATCGCAGCACTGACAGGGCTCTCCATGTGGCTCCTCCAGCTCCAGGGCCCAGGCTGCCATCAGTGTGTCTCCATGTGGCTTGTCAACAGGAATGTCTCGCGGGGAGTCAAGCAGAGTGTTTTGTGTCCCGCCTCCAGCGAGCTATTTGTCTCCCTAGCACCTCCAAATGAGGTCATCAAGCTGCGACCTGATTGGCAGGCTAACCTCGACCCCTTCACTCTTAAGTCTCAAGTTGACAACAGATGATGTAACCACCACACCCTGATGGAATGCACTGACCCAGGGGCTGCCACCACGGCTCAGACATCAGAACTGACGTGAGGATGGTGCAGGACCAGGCTGTGCTCTGCTCTACTGCTCTCAGGGGCTCTGGGAGTCAGACGGACACAATGGCTCCTGGCAACAACCACAGGCCACTTTTTATGGTGGAATGCATTTTTAAATATTTTGCCCATTTTAAATGTTTATTCTCTCATTATTGAGTTTGGAGAATACAGAATAGTCTGGCTACACGTCTTTTATCAGACCTGTGATATACAAATATTTTCACCTGATCTTGTCTTTTCATTCTTAAAACAGTGTTTTCGGACAGTGTAAGACATGAGAAAATAATAATAATTTATAAATTATCAAGGGGTGGGTCGGGGAGGGAGGGAGGGAGGGAAGGGGAAAATTGAGGAGACGATACCAAGGACTCAAGTAGAAGGAAAATGTTTTGAAAATGATGATGGCAACAAATGTACAAATGTGCTTGACACAGTGGATGTATATATGGATTGTGATAAGAGTTGTATGTGTGAGCCCCCAATAAAATGATTTAAAACAAACAAACAAAAAAAAACAGTGTCTTTCAAGAAGCAGAAGTTCTTGATTTTAGGGAAGTCCAATTTATCCTTTCTTCTCTTTTACCTATCGTGCTTCAGGCATCATGTCTAAGAAACTTTCAGACCCAAGGCTTTTTCCTCTATGATTTCTTCAAGGCATTCATAATTTTGGTTTTGTACTAGGTCTGTTATCCATTTTGCATTACTGTGTGTACATGGGAGGAAGTATGAATCCAAGTTCTTGGTTTTGGTTTTCCTATTATCCCAGCTTTACTGCCTGAGAAGATGATCCCTTTCTTTGTACCTTTTTTAAAGATTCAATCAAGTATCGATGTGAGGGTCTTTTTCTGGATTCTGTTCTGTTTCATTGCTCTACTATAAATTCTAATTGCAAAAACTGCAGAAAACCAAAACACGAAATCCAGGGAACCCTCAATTATGAAGAGGGAGTTTCGACTTTGTGTAATGGCAGAGTTGCTCCTTTGGGCTAATCTTCCCACATATAACAAGTATGAACTCTGAAAAATATACAAACACCTGGCTGAATGACTATAATCAGGCAAAAGCTGGAGAGGAGTCTACACTTGGAAGAAAGGAACTGGCTGAGTGAGTTCCCTGGGGCTTTTTTATTTTGGTTTTGTGGCCGTTACATAATCTGGTGTCAACTTGAGACTATAAGAGTGATGGGGTGGAGTTTAACCTGTCAATCAGATCGCAGCTTGATGACCTCATTTGGAGGCACTACAGAGATAAATAGCTCACTGGAGGCCAGACATGCTCTCCCTTGGAACATTCCTGTTGACAAGACACACGGAGCTACGCTGATGGAGCCAGTGCCCTCGAGCTGGAGGATCCATGAGGAGACCCACGCTAGCACTGAGCTGCTTCCACTACTCTCGATCCACAACACTTTCCTCCCACTGGCCTGTGATCATTCAGCATTATTGCATGGCTGCATGATGTGAGTCGGAAGAGGAATTTATAGACTGGTACCGGACATATGGGATAATATGGGACTTATGGACTTGATCTGGACTGGGCTGGGATGTTTTCTCAATATTCAATTGGTCTTGTATATAAAGCTCTTTCTTACATACATATGCATCTTCCTGGATTTGTTTCTCTAGTCTACCTGGAATAACACAGGTTTCATTCCATTGTTCACAGCTTCTTGCCTCAGTGCCCAGTTGTACCATGCAGGGAGGCCCAAACACGGAGAGAAACCTGCCATGTCACTGACTAAAAAAGTCAAAGGACAGTAATCAGGCCTTCTATAGCAGTTATAAAGTAAGGAGAGGAACTCCTGGAAAAGGAGAATTCCAACTTATATGTATAAACTCTGTCCAAATCTCTGGTAGATTCCTGAAATACACTTGTATGAGGAAAATTACAAACTGCATAGCTAAGGCCAAAAAAAAGTGAGCAGAGATTCTTGGGAATTCAGTACAACCCAGTTAACTGCTTGCTAAAAACAAAACAAAAATAAATAGAATAGATTCTTTGGCAAGTTATCTACCATACAGTATTCACTAATGTCCAAGGTTCATTCCAGAAAGATTAGACACAGGAACAAACAGGAAAAGAGTACGAGAACTCAAAAAGAAAAAGCAATCGGTTAGGACCAAGCATGAGATGACAAACAAAAATATTGTAATGAGCAAGCAAAGGTTTTAGAGCAACTACCACAACTATGCTCAAGAACACCATGGGGAAATGATGGCAACCTGTGTGCAGATGTGCTTGACACGATGGATGTGCGGACTGCTAGAAGAGCTGTGAGAGCCCCCAATAAAATGATTTTTAAAAATAAAGAAATAAAGAATACTATGGGACATATAAGGTGGCTTCAAAAAATTCATGGAAAAACTCCATTCTCTTTGAGCTCCATTTTCCACAAACTTTCTGAAGCTCATGATGAAGGAATAAATAAGAAGTCCCAACAGGGAAATTAAAACTACAGCAGGACGTTTTAGAAATGAAAATGAAACTATCTGAAATAAACATTCGCTGGGTGGTCTTAGCAGACTGGAAATGAAAACCAAGTCAGTGGATCGAAAACACAGACCAATCGAGATGACCCAACACGATGAACAGGAGAGCAGGGGATTGAACACAAACGGATTCGGAAGGTGTGGTTAAGAAATATGTCGACTGGCGTATAATCCACACACGAAAGGCTGTGGAGAGGGTTTAGCCTCTGCTCCCAGAAAACCTTTGCCCAAAAGTAAACCGAAGAAGCACACTTGCTGGCTTTGAGGGTTTCCCTCCTCATCTGCACTCCTGTCATGTTAGGAGAGAGATGATGAGCCTGCAGGAAGACAAGAGGAGGAGACAAACAGACAAGATGGCCAGACTCCGGTTCACCCTGGCTCAACCGTGATCTGCTCTTCTGAGTCTGCCCTGGAACATGCCAATGCCTTGCTAATGGTTAGTTCTCATTGATCATTTGATGAGCATGTTAGCTCCCTGACTTCGAGACCAAGGGCCCAAGCATGAGGCAAGAGCTCTCTGGGACCTCAGGCGCCTTCAAAGCCACCATAAATTTTTTTTTAAAAAGTGGGAAAAACAGGCTTAGGGCATTCCGTCATTGATCCCACGACCCCGGCTTCACCAACCCTGAAGACCGCAGGAGCGTCCATGTATGTATCGTTGCTTAACAACTTACGTTTCTGAGTATCAAATGTTTACAGAGAGTTTGTGTTATTGTGGAAAACTGTTCATGTTCTGCGAGGAGGTTTCAAACCGCCTGGGAAAACTCCATGCATGTCGAGTCCATTTTGTAATGACCTTCTTGGAAGGCTATAATGTTAAATAAGAAAACAACACACCAACTTTTTGTCTTTTAAGGAAATATTTGGGAGCAGGGCACGAAAGAGAGGAGGAAATGTATGGGGAGAGTGACAGTGCCGTCTCACAGCCAGATGGGCTTCCATCCCCGGGGGGACGAAGTTAGCTTGTTCCGATGAGGAATTCACCCTGTTTCGCCTGACCAGAAATGCATGCCTCCTACTAACAGGCGAACGGTGTCAGCAGAGGAGTGAAATCCTGTGGGAACTTGAGACATCACCGGCAAGCACAGTATTAAATTAATAATGAATCAATTCTGAGTGAAAACGAAGGCCGACTCCCACGCTAGAAGCACAGGCAGGCCAGGCACGCTGCTGAGTTTGGGGAACTAAGCATGTGTCCCCCAAGGTGAGCGTCCAGAAACATTACAGCCCCAGATCCCAGTACCTGTGGCCGCGGGGAAGAACACTCCGAAGACGGTGAAGAAAGACTCCCCGGGACTGTAATCCGGCAGGGCGTTGCTGCGCAGCACCCCTGGTGAATAGCCCACGAAGCCGTGCTCTGGAATCAGAAAAAGGAGAGTGGGAGCCCTGTGGTCAGAAAGAGCCCGGCCTCCTTCCACGCCGCCCTGTTTGATGCAGCCATAAACATCAAAGGAAGTGAGGGGGTGCTGAGAGAAAAGAGTCAGACCCACAGTTAGCTTCCTCCACACCTCCTGGGCTTTTGTGGGTCTCTACCTTTATCTCTGCAGAGGCCAAACCCAAACTCAGGGACAAGACAGGAACCCTGTGGCTTCCAAGGCTGCAAATCTTCCTGGGAGCAGAAAGCCTCATCTTTCTTCTGTGACGTGACTGGTGGTTTCAAACGAACGAGCTTAGGATCAGCAAGCCAATGCCCAGCCCACGGCCGGGCCAGGGCTCCTTCTAGAGAGGTAGTCCGTGGATCATTTTACGGGGGTTAATGGTGGTTACCTCAGCGGAGAAGGGAGTATTTTTATTTGTTGCTTTATAAACTTTAAACCAGTGTGAGCTGCTACTGAGTCCTACGGAGTAGAATTGTATGCTGCAGGGGTTTCCATGGCTAATTTTTAGAAGGGAGCCCCCAGGCCTTTCTGTCGGGACATTGCTAAGGGCACGCGAGCCACCAGCCTTTCATAGGAGCCAAGCACAGTAACCATTTGTATCCCCTAGGGCTCCTGCAGACCAGTGGTTCTCAACCTTCCTCACGCC